TCAAACCAGTTTAACCAGATACACGTATATAGACAAATTAACTCAAGGAACGGGGGGGGGGGGGGGGGAGGGGAAGAGAGGAGCTAATCAACAGAGAAGCCAAGAGACTAATATAGAGTGAGAGAAATCCACAAAGCTTTTGAGAAGAGCTGTTCCATGAAGGAGCTATGGCCGCAATCAACATCACTGCCCAGTGTTGTTATTGGTTAGTATTAAAGTAAGATTCAATTCACTGGCACCCCATTCAGAAAAGGTGCTTATATACCTCAGTGACGAGGGCCACGTAGGAGCTGGATAGAGAGAGGAAATCAAGGGCAAAATTTCAATGGGCTTCAATGGTGCCATGCTTTCATCTAGGCTGGCTAAATGACCAGACTTGGTCTCATTCATATAGATGTACGTATATGTTGTTGTTTTACAGGTAAGGGCCCTAACCTGAGTCTCTCTTTCCCCTTCCCAGTTGCAGGTAGAAGGCCTACCCAAGCTAACTCATACATCCCCGCAGGAGGTGGGACCAAGGGGGATAGCGGTGGGTGCTTGAACAGACTGCAGCAGTTTCAAAGGCCCTGGGAGATCAGGAGGGGGAAGGTGGCACAGCAGCACCTACACTTCCCACCGCCCCGCCCACAGCCAGTAACAGTTGGGGAAGGAGGCGATAAAGAGAGACAAATTCCTCTCAGCATAAGGGTATGTTTTACCAGTCTTTTTTACTTCCCCTGAACTTATTGCTAACTAAGGAGAGATACTTAACTGTCTTATAAAGGCTGTTGTGCACCCCCCCCCCACATAGTTTGCTCCAGACTACAAATATTTGTTTTTTACCCCAGACTCATCCCTAGGCTAGACTGGGCGAGGTCTGGGGAAGAGGACTGGGGAACGTTTGCAATGTGCTTGAAGGCCTCTGATAGGAGGAGACAGAGAGTTGGGATTTATAGGGTGAGATTTTCTAAAGCGCTCAACTTTTGTCCTAACTCCAACGGTTTTTCAATGGGAGCAGGTAGGCCAACAGTGTGGCCTTGTGGAAATCCCACCCATATACTGTGCTGGTGGGTGGGTTGTGCCTTAGACAGTGAGCAATGCAAAATATTGGGATTGTATATAGCTTGGCATGTCACTTCAAGTATTCTGCGCTTCTCCAAAAACAAAGGGCCAGGTACAAGCAAGATATTATTGTTACTTTGGAAACCATTGTAATTTCTTCATGCCAAGTCATTTTCCTCACAACAAAATCCTGTCTTGCTGTCCAAATAAGTTTGTTGAAAATGCACTGTTTCTAAAAACAGAAGTGAAAATATTTGACCAAACACAGTATTGCGTGTGTGTTCCCCCTCTTTCCTTCTCTGTTTTTATTGCATGAAAGTAAACACATGTGACTTATGAACTAAGTAAATACTAAGCCAAGAGTAGCAGAGAGAGTTAGACACTGATAACGAAGAAAAGCACAAAGCTGAGGAAGGAAAACTCTGGCTCTCTGGAAACCTCTTTCAGTTTAGAACCTGTCCATCAAGTTTTCTCTGAGCTTCACAGGGGCTTGGGAGCGGTATCACTGCTGATTGACAACTGCATTCTGTGGCTGTCAAGCTGTCGACTTTCTGCTAGTAATTATTTTTCTTTGTCCAGCAGTTAAAAGTTGTTCACTGTCTCTAGGACCACACCTGATGCCTGTTATGTGCCTAACAATGTCCATTATCTGCTATAGGAATAGCTTCTTTTGTGCTTTAAAAAAAAAATCAGCAGCCGAAATGCGGGTTGTGATGCCAGCCTTGTAATTTGAAGGAACAGTTCCACTAACCCAGGCAATAAGGGGGCCAGCAGACAATGGCCTGGCACATTTCCTCCAGTGGAGGGCAGTGCTTTACACAAACACATTCAAATGTTTAAAATTAGGCACCTACATAAAAACAGTCTGATTTTAACATGGGAGCTACAGATGCTTAGCACTTCCTTCTGAGTGGATGGACATTTGCATTTAGGTGCCTATCTGAAGGAACCCCTGTATGGCCTCCACCTATCCATCCCATCGTATATTACGAACCGCATCTATCCTTACATAATGACATTATCCTTTTAAAGCAGGTCTATTTGTGAGCACCACAGCTGTCAACTGAGATATTTAGAATTCCAACAGAAACAGCACACACATTCCACACACGCAGCACGCCACCAAGTTCCTGATTGTTAGTCAGAAATCAATGCTACTAGGAAACAAATGATTTAGGCTGCCAGAAACAACACAGTAGATATATGAGTTTTCATTTGGCATTCTAGTAGCCAGTGATGTCACTAGCACTCCCAATTTGCCAAACATCTGCCATGACAGGGACATGCCAGATTCCTTAGAAAAGTTTGGTCTATTTCCTCAATGAGTTATTGTAGAAAAGGCAGGTGTATGTTTGTGTCATATCTTAAAGCACAATACCTGTGGCAGGTTCCGTAACTCAGGAACACAAGACTTCTATGAAATACCTCTTATTGCATGAAGTGAGATATTCATGCAATGAAGTGACAAGAAACTTTGCTACCTGGTGAGGAGCTCGTGTAAATAAAATATGTAATCCACCCCTGCCACAGGACTCTTTGCTGCTTTTACAGATCCAGACTACCCCTCTGATACTTAAGCAAAACAAAGAAATTTGAAATTTACAAGGGATTATAAGCTAAGGTCAAATCCTTGGAACATTGGTTTAAGTGACTTTTTTAAGATTCAAGTGAACAATATAAGTTAATAAACATTAATGTACAGATTACTTAATATATACATACAATTATATAGACTTGTTAATGGAGATAGATAATATAGTGCTTTGATGATGTCAAGACATCAGAATGGTATGCTAAGTATTCATATCCGTATTAAATAACAATTTCTTAATGTGCCTGAATTTTGAATAATGAATGAGAATGTCCATGAAAACACTGGAAATTAACACAGTCTGGCACTGGCCAAAAGTATATCAAAATTTGGAAAAATGACTTGTTTTCACAGCGAATTTTTTACACAAAGAAGATTTTCACTTTCATGCAGTGTTAGTGATTATTAACTAGTCAGGCACAAAATAGGGTCTGTTATAATTGTGCAAAGTATTATTTTTTATCACAGGATGAATTAGTCATTTAATAATAATATGTTTCTGATATGTATATTCTTGAGTGATTTTGTTGAATTCTCTATTCTTATGAAAGTAAATAGCTGGTGTCACTTGAATAGATATGTGGACAGAGTTGGCATCGATGAGTTGGCACATATCTATTCAAGTGACACCATCATAGGACCTAATCACATCAGCCACGCCATCAGGGGCTCGTTCACCTGCACATCTACCAACGTGATATATGCCATCATGTGCCAGCAATGCCCCTCTGCCATGTACATTGGCCAAACCGGACAGTCTCTACGCAAAAGAATAAATGGACACAAATCTGACAGGAATCATAACATTCAAAAACCAGTGGGAGAACACTTCAGTCTCTCTAACCACTCAGTAATAGACCTGAAGGTGGCAATTTTGCAACAAAAAAACTTCAAAAACAGACTCCAAAGAGAGACTGCTGAACTTGAATTAATATGCAAATTAGATACAATTAACTTAGGTTTGAACAGAGACTGGGAATGGTTGGGTCATTACACTAATTGAATCTATTTCCTCATGTTAAAATATGTTCTAATATCCTCACACCTTCTATGGGTCATCTCGATTATCACTTCAAAGGTTTTTTTTCTCTCTCTTGCTGATGATAGCTCATCTCAATTGATTGGCCTCTTACAGTTGGTATGGCTACTCCCACTTTTCATGTTTTCTGTATGTATAAATATTTTCTTTCTGTGTGTTCCATTCTATGCATCCGATGAAGTGGGCTGTAGCCCACGAAAGCTTATGCTCAAATAAATTCGTTAGTCTCTAAGGTGCCACAAGTACTCCTGTTCTTTTTGCGGATACAGACTAACACGGCTGCTACTCTGAAACCTGTTATTACTTTAATTCAAATCTGGTTCATCACTGATAACATCTGAAAGACCCCTTTCCTCAGCTCAGGGATGCTTCAAGAAAAGATCGATATGGGGTTGGGGGGGAATCATTCACCCAGAATTATTCACTCAGTAAAAAATGCATTTTCCTTAAAAAAAAAAAGTCTGTAATCAGCATGGCAGCTCCACACAGCTACACAAGTAAAGAGTTTTGTGCTGAGCAGTGCAGTGATATTACTGCCAATGGTTCTCTATTCTTACAAACAATCCTTATAGGATTGTAAAGCATTGTAATGCTGTGCTGTTCCTGCCTGGCCATTGTGCATTGGAAGAAAGTGAACTCTTCTAGCACATGTGACTGACAAAGTGTTGAATACCCACGAAAGCTTATGCTCCAATACATCTGTTAGTCTATAAGGTGCCACCGGACTCTTTGTAGCTTCTTCTAGCACTGTAGTTTGGAAGGGGAGCCAGGTTCTTTCATTAGGTGTTTGATTCTCTTGTTTTCTCCTAAATAATACTTGGAATGTAGACAGGGTCCCTTCCTTCAAGCTGGTCCAAACAGGCAGACCCCTACATCCACCCAGGAAAGTCAGCCCCTCACTAATAATTTGGTTGGCTTAAAACCCACTATATATATATATATATATAAAAAAACTGGGTACTTTTTATGTCCCTTCCACTTTCTGGGCCTTTAAGGTGCACACTGGTCAATTTTTCAGGCTTTTTCTTTGCAACTGTGAGGGCAGGAATGAAAGCAGAGATTCACGGAACTCCAGGAGCTGGGGCTTTAGGAAAAACTTGAAATATCAATAACTGTGGATACATTAGCAAGAGCTGGGGTGGCTAGAGCCCGGCTGGAGTCCCGGGGACCCTGCACACATGCCAGGCTCTGCCCAGACAAAGTAACTCAGGGGATTAGGACCATCATATTCACAACAGCCCCTGATAATGGCCCCCTGTCCCCATCAAAGTCTATTCCCTTTGGAGCCCCGGGAGGAAGCGAGCCGGCTCGGGAAAGGGGAGGGAGGGATTCACCTCCTAGGCCGGGCTCTGTCCCTGGGAAGCGGCGTGCGCTGACTCCCCAGCCCTGCTCTCCCTTTTGGGCGCAGGGAGGCCAGGAGCCCGTGGGCAGAGCTGCCCCCAGCTGACGCCTCGGTCGAGTCACAATGGCCCGGCCCGGCCCCGCAGCGCCGCGGGCTCCCGAGCAGAGGACACCGGTCACCATGCCCCCAGCGGCCGCGGCAGCACCAGGCTCCGCCGGCCGCTCCCCAGCGGCTTAGAGCGGCGGCAGCCCACGTGCGGAGCTGCCTGGCGGCGGGATGACGCAGCCGGGGATCCCCGCAGGGGGGATTCCCTCGCAGGTAGGAGCCCGCCGGCTAATGGGCTGAGCAGCGGCGCGGCCAGCGGCGGTCTCCCGTCGTCGCTGGCAGGATCCTGGCCAGCCCCGTTCCCCACCCGCTGGGCAAAGCGCCCAGCGTAGGGGGCTGGGAAATCCACGCCCCCAGGGAGGCGGGGATGGTCAGGGCAGGGAGGGCTTCCCCCAGCTGTTTACTTTCCTGGGGAGAACAGAGCATTCAACAACATCACTCAAGAAAGTACCTGGGGGAAACTTTAACCATCCTGGGAGAGGTGCCACAGTCCTGTCAAAGCAGAGACTTCCCCATGGCAATCCCCAGCAGAGCGCAAGGCGCTAGCAGCCTGGAAATGGACTTCTAGCCCCATCACTCCACTTTATCCATCTAGCACAGCGCCCGTAGAGCGGGGAGTCAACGTTTCAAAAGCAGCTAAGTGACTTAGGAGCCTAAGTTCCATTTTCCAAAGTGACTCTGGCCTTGTCTACACACTGAAGTTGCCCTGTCTTAACTATACGGGTAGTAAGTACTGTGTAGCGTGGATGCAGTTATAGATATAAATGTTTCCATTGGTATAAAAAAAACAAGGAATCCTTGTGGCACCTTAGAGACTAACAGATTTATTTGGGCATAAGCTTTTGTGGGCTAGAACCCACTTCATCAGATGTATAGTTTATCCTTGTATGGGATGGGGAATATATGATACTAGTATAATCACCCTACACCAGGAGTTGGACTGGTGTAACTATTTACGGTTAAATGCCCACTCCTAGCTGAAATGGCTGTTCTGGCACAAAATCTATGGTTAGATTGGGCCTTGGGTACTCAGGCCTAGATTTGGAAAGGTATTTGGGCATTGCTGCACTCAGCGTTGCAAAGCCAAACTGATTTAGAAACCTAAATTGCATTTCCAAAAGGTATTTAGTCAGTTGATGTGATTGAGGCTCCTAAGTGTCTAAATCCCTTTTGAAAACAGGACCCAGGTGCCCAAGTCACTTTGGTGATTTTGAAAATTTTATCCTAGGTGTTTTACCGATCAATTTGAGGAAAGGTCCCGGTCTTGAAGAGCTTGTCATCTAAACAGACTCACATAATGAAATGTCAACATATACATACATTACATGGATCAAAATCCTCCATCCACACCCTGCGTTTGGTCCCTGTACATCCATCTCTACTCCTTCTCCCCTTTCCTCAGCCCTAACTCCAAATAGTCAACCTGCTGCAGCACCCCCTACCATGCTGGCAGCAGTGACTGGGTGATGCTGGTACTCTCTGCGGGTGTTATCTTTCCCTATGAATTGTGAGAGGGGCCTTTTTTTTACATGGATTACAGCAAACCGTGACACATCAGGGCTGGCAGAGACACTGCTAATGTGCTAAACAGCTGGCACAGTTAATGTAAGGCGGCTCTGGTCCCTTCAAGGCCATCTCATGTCATAACAATATTTATTGATTTATGACCTTCCCCTGAAGCACCTGGTGCTAGCCACTGTCGGAGGCAGACGGACTGGACTAGATGGACCAGGGTAATGCAATTCCTGTCATCCCTTAACCTCATCTCAAAAGTGCACATGCATGGGCGGTAGTATTGTGCATGGTTACTGATGTGTATGTATGTCACCTGCTGTGACCAGCTATAGAAAGAGTCACTGGAAACCAGCTGGATAACATAGAAAATACACAGCGTTTGGGAACACTCACTTTTTTGCTGCTTTGTTAAAAGCTGTAATGTGTGTGGGACTCACCATTTTATCTCCAGTCTCATAATATCTGGTGTTTTTCTTGACATCCCAGCTCCTGGAGTCATGTAATGTCATGAGAATCTCAGCTTTCAATTAAAAAAAAAAAGTTTCTAGCTTTCAGGGATACAGAGAGAAGCTTGAAAATATGATCCAGCCGCATCTTAAAGGTTCAGAAACCAGAAAGCACATAAAAAGTACTGAAACATCATTTTAAAAAAATGTCTGATTTTTAAATCACTCTCATAATTTTTGGAGCCTAACACATGATTTTTGAATACGTCGGGTGGACAATACTGGGAAGCAAAAAGTCTCCTTTATAGTCACCACTAACTGCTCCAATTTCCCTTGCATTTCATTTTCTCCACAGTCATGTCTTTTAGATAAGGACTATAATATATGTTGAAGTACTTATTATCTGATGCTGTTTGTTTAAAGGATGTGGTAACTGCCAGCAACATCTTTGGTATTTACTCATCTCAGGCCTCCCTCTGATGCACTTAATGTACTTGAGCAAGAGGTGAAAACTATAGTGGAGATGAGCAAGCAAATAAGGTTCCAATTCTCCAACTGGGGCCAAATTTTCAGAAGTGCTCAGTACCCAACATGTACCCAATGTGTTGGTACCCAAGGTGCAAATTTTTAATAGTGATGGTAATTAAGTACTAGAACAATTCCCTAAAGTTGTGGTGGATTCGCCATCATCTAGAGTCTTTAAATCAAGTTTGGATTTCTTTCCAAAAGATACACTCTAGCTCAACCAGAAGTTATGGGCTTGATGCAGGAAGCATAGAAGGTCAGACGAGATGCGGATTGTGGTCCCTTTTGGCCGTTAAGATCTATACATCTACAAAAGGGCTGAGATGACTTCTCTGGGATTTGCATTTCCGGAAAGTTTAGAGTATGTCTATACTGCAGCTGAGAGGGAGCCTCCCAGCCCAAGTAGGCAGACTTGAACTAGTTTAGGTCGAGCTAGCATGTTAAAAATAGCAGTAGGGATGCTGTGACTCCGGTGGAGAGTCAAGCTAGACAACTGACGGGGGCAGATGGGTGTAAGAGCCCGAGCTATAACGTCAACACTGCTATTTTTAGTCCACTGGTTTGAGTCCCGCTAGCGTCAGTCTGTCTGCCGGCGTTGGGAGGCTCAGTTCCAGATGAAGTATAGATGTACCATTAGTGACTTCAGATTCGGGGCTTAGAAACGCAAGCCATCCTCTTTAGCTGGTCTATAGGGAGCAATTCTGCACATTCCAACGGAGGTCTGCTATCATCTCTAACTCCTATCACACACCTGGCACCGGGGACACTGCCCGCTTGGAGAGTGTCATTCCCAGAAGTAAATGCCGTCGTCCCAAAGTCAAGACAGTTCAGAGTGGGGAAGAGGTGCCAGTAAATCATGTATAAAGCCTGTTGTTCCGTAAGGCTGGAACGTGCTGACCTCTCGCTTGCAAGCTGCAGCGAGGTCTGATCCAAAGCCCAGTGGAGCCAATAGGATTCTTAACCTTGACGTCAATGGGTTCGGGATTAGGCTCTTAGAAAGCAGATAAACTTCTGAATTTTAGTGGCATCCTGAGAATATCTTAGACGGGAAGATTTTCTCTCTTCCCCCCACAGCCACCACCAAGCGGAATCCTGCTGCCACAGTGCAGATCGAAGCACTAGCCATTGGGGAGGCTCAAGGAGGCACTGAGCTAAACCTGAGCATCTCTCAGAGGCAGATGGAGGATCCCTGAAGAAAAGGGTCCTGCAGTGAGAGCATTAAGGCCTCTGGCTGGCTGGGGAGTGGGTGACAGCCAGCTGCCAGAGGCCTCAAAAGATAGTAGGCAATGTAATTTACATAATCATTTTACTGATCTTCCTGTTACGTGATTAATAGGTTTATGACCCAGTGGTCAGAGCCAGATATACAGGCCGAAAATAGATCAGCTGAATAAGCCAGGGCGTCATGGAAACCTCTTTACGTGGTTAAAAATAAAGCTAGGCACCAAAGATTTAGTTTAGGATGCACAACTAATAATTGAACAGGGACCACTTTGGTTCCCATTTGACCTTTCCAAGGATCACGGGCATCCTCAGTGAAAAGCAGTGTATCCCAACCATCTCTAAGTGCTGGTTAAGTAACGAAGGTAAAAACATAATGTCCCTGCTAAGAAAGCCTTCACATTTTACTTCTGAGAGATGTTTGCACCTTCCTCAAGTGACCTGCGTTTTTCAGCCTTACGTGCATTTAAATCCTATTTCTGTTTTCGTTCTTTCAGAGAATTTCACACTAGCACAAGGTGCTGCACTGACAGCGCTGCAGTGCTCTGTTGACCCACAGAACAGATACAGCATGGGCAAGCTTTCCCTGTGTCACCACGTTGGTATGCATCAGTATAGAGGGATCCCCTTTAGGGTTAAGAGAGGCATTTATGGCCTGTGTGGTCCCTGAATACTAGCAGGGCTTCCAGTTGGTTGCAGTTCTCATGTCAGTGAGTACCCGATCCATTAGGAACTGGTCTAGGACCACCACCTAGTTGTTGATTAGCCTCTGAAAAATGGTCTGATAGTAGCAATATCTGGTCAGGACTGAATTCAGGCAGCTGACCTAGGGATGAAGGGCTGTCCTCTCCCATTTCCAATCTCCCGAGCTCTCCTGCCACCGGTGCACTGACTCCTGTTCAATAGTATCCATCTGGGGTGTGTTTGTCATAAAGCTGGGTAAAAAAGATCTGTGACGAGAGAATGAAAACCTTTGGGGGGGAGACAAAAGACTAAATTCTGTCAGCAGAGAAACATTGTTGCCTGTTCTGTTTTTCCTGGATGAGGTACACCTAGATGTGAATCTGTTCACACTGTGTACTGTAAGAATCCCATGGCTTCATAGAATATCAGTGTTGGAAGGAACCTCAGGAGGTCATCTAGTCCAACCCCCTGCTCAAAGTAGGACCAATCCCCAGACAGATTTTTGCCCTAGATGGCCCCTTCAAGGATTGAACTCACAACTCTGGGTTTAGCAGGCTAATGTACAAACCATTGAGCTATCTATCCCACCCATTGCTAGATGCAGAATTGAGAATCTTTTGTGCTAAAGAATTACGCCCTGACCCTTTAGCGCCCTAAGGATAGCTCAAAATACATGAACAGAAGTGCTCTCTGTGATCAGGCTGGTATCACCTCATTCTGCAAAAAGATCATGTCAATGCAAATTTGGAAGGTGGTGTTTCCACAGGGGATATGCTCAGCTGGAATAAAATGGTGAACTGTATGGTGTCATTGTTGGCTCAAGTCACAAGGAACATGTAGCTCTCTATTGATTACAGATAAGATTTATTGATTCATATTTTCCTCTCCATCTTTTGCATATTTGCGTGCAAAATAAAAATAGACCCACTGATGAATGTGCCAAGGTCGTGGCTAGGGCCTGCAAAGAACACGTCATACAAGTAGCACAGAAATGCATGGCCTGGCAAGGCATCAGGAAGCCAGTGAGCAGGCACAGCAGTGTGATCAGGGAGTTGCTGAGAGAGCTGTGCAAATAATTTAACGGATGGTGTCACTTCACTGACAGTTCCAAAAAAATCAAAATAATGGTTTGGTTCTGCTCAAAGTGAACGTGATTGTATGTGTGTGTGTGTGTGCGCGCGCGGAGGGTAGGGGAATTTCTGGCAAATTGAAAGAATCGGGAAAACCTTGGCTTCAGATGAAGCATTTCATGTTGGTCATTTTTAACAAAAGCAAAGAGCAACATTCATTAAACTGAGGGGCGGTGCCCCTGTTGTAACCTGTAGCCCACTGGGTAGGTCAGCTGGGACCTGGGAAACGCAGTTTTGAATCACTGTTCTGGACCAGGAACTTGGAATACCCATCTCCCACATCCTACGTGATGCCGTAACCAGTGGGCTATGTACCTGGAGTGGGGATCTCTACATCTGTTCTGTTAAAGTTGTTCCACTTTGTATAAAATACATGAGTAGTTATTTGGACAAAGAAAGTGCGAGTGACTCTGGGGCATTCACCTTTATCCTAGTCCCTACTCCAATGAACATTTAATTATGTACAAACCCAGAGCAAAAAGACAGTCTCTGCCCCAAACAGCTTGCAATCTAAGATACGAGACAACGGCTAGACACAGACAGACAGAAGGGGAGCACAAGAAAACAGTTTGATAGCTCTTTATACCCAGTTTGCAGTGGTGTAAATGACTGCAAAAGGAGCAAGGTTACAGAGAATCAAGTCCTTGGGATCTAGTTTTATGTTTGGTGTGTGAATTTCCTTGGTATATTTTTTCTTTATTAGCAGTATTTGTAAAGAGATGCTGTCAAGTTCAAAACAATACATTTTCTTTAAATAATCCGCTACGAGCAACACCTCAAACGCTCATTAAAGCATTTTAAATGGCCAGATTTTTAGCATTTATACCAGTTGTTGACTGTTTGCTGTTCAGTGTAACTAGACTGGCCACTTTCACTACTGGGCCTGGTCTGTTTCACTTTCCAGTTCTCACGCACTAGCGCAGCACTATTATGTTTGGGTAGATGATAGAGAGAACGTGAAACTCCTACAATTCTGTGCAGGAACAAAAGGATTGCAATGTCTCTTTGTTTGATTTTTCTTTTCACAGGTCAATGGGGCTCTGAAACCAGGAGCTCCCATCAAGGCCTGCAAGAGATCAAAGGGAAGAGAAATAGCCAAAGTGTTACAGGATTTTCCTTGCCCCCTACGCACATCCAAGGATCAGTCGTCTCCAATAGGCTATCGTAAGGACCAAGCTTTAGCCTCTATGTTTGTTCCTTTCGTCGTACACCCTGGGAGTCATAAGCCTGATTCACTCAAGTTTGTCTTCTATAAATCGAATTACTCTAATTCGTACGCGCCATTTTACACTGCGCAGAAGCCAACCTGTGGGTACCGGTATTGCCGGGACACCGATCACACCAGGAAGGTGATGGACGTAGAGAGTGCAAACATTGTCAAGTGGAGACCCATTGTGGGGACGAAATCACAGTTAGTTACAATAAACCCAAAGCAACGAAACTGACAGTATGCCTGGCCCAAGCCTCTCATTTGTGCAGGATACGCTAGTGCAGTGTGTGGGTTGAAGGGGTAAGGTAAAGTTTATTTGGATGGTTCTAGAAGACGACCTAGGACATACTGCAGGAGCTAAACTTTCACAGCAGCATAGCAAACGGCTGTCGTAACGTCTACCCAACTCCTTCCAGAATGCAGTGCAATAGTGTAAACCTACCATTGTGGTTAAGTTACCAAAACTAGCCACTAGCTGGCACATTAAATGAAGCATGTTACAATGAGAACTGGTGCCTGTGATAGCAATGCAATGGATATGGGGGTTGGGGAAGATGCTGTTAGGTTTGGTAAATCCATCCACCTGATGAATGCACTGATCTCCGAGAAATATGTTGCCTAGAGTGTGTGTAATTGTATTGATATAGGAAAACCCAGTCCGACTTCTTGTGTCCGGGTTGCTGGGAACCCTTATTGAGGCATTGAGACTCAACAGTGAGGTGCATAAAATATGAATTCTACTGATCATCTATGTACTGCATGGGTATCCACACAACAGACTAAACTCCAGATGTCTTGCTCCAGCATGCACTGGGCTCAGTGTAGAACCTGGGCTGTATTCCGTAGGAGCTGGTCTCTTCTTTGTTTTCCCAAAGTCCTGGTCAGACTCTGGAAAGCATAGGAACCCCTTCATTGCTAGGCCTTACAGGCATAGTATGACATTGTGCTCAGTGAGGAAGCAAGCTTGTTTTGTGTTTGGAGCTGTAAAAGCTTGTTTTGTGTTTGGTAATTGTCACTGAAATGTAACATGCACTGGGGAGGTCTCTATTAGCCCTGACTTAGAGTACATTGTAAAAGATGTCAGCTGGCACACGGTATACAAGAATTTTTTTTAATAGCCTGGCGAATCGAATGCATTGGCAGAAAGGTACAACTATCATCATCATATTTTGTCCTTCTGTAGCATTGTGAGCTGATGGACTTTCCCACTCTGCTCTGAACAGTGTAGTCATATTGTCCAAACGTATCTCCTTTCATGGAGTTTGGCTTGACTGGCAGTTGAAACACCAACAGTATGTTATAAAGCTCAGCCCAAGTCTGGCTGGTCCTAGGGTTTCCCTGCAGAAATCTCTGTGCCCCAGACCCTTGTGCCTTCTGGTCAGATGATCATCACACGCTTCCTATCTTGGTAGAATTAACAAGCCCCTCCTGCAATAATAGCCAGCAGAACTTATTCAGCAACTTTATGTAGGGTTCTAACTCTTGCTACCAGAGTGGGTTGGGGGAGAACCCGGCCACCCCCTTAGAAGCACCTTTCAGCTAAGAAGTTTAAAGCATTTTACAAGTAATAATTAACTAAGTGTCATGACCACCCCCATGAGGTAGAAGACTATCATCATCCCCCTTTTTACTTCTGGGAAACTGAGGCCCAGCGAGCCCAGGGCCCAGAAACTCAAAGGTGTTTAGGCACCTAACTTCCATTGAGATAATTGAAAACTAGATATCTAAATAACTCTGAGGATCTGGGCCCATGTGCTTTGCCTAACCTCGTACAGGGGAGCCTGTGGCACAGCTGGGAATTTCACCTGGCACCTTGCAATATCCTGAAATAATTCAGGGCTTTCATTCTACTCCGTGCGCTAGAGATTAGCCCGAGCCGCCAGAGCCAAGTTTGGGTGTGTTTAAACCGGATTCATTTCAGGCCCATCTCTTCTGTCTGATCCTGCTAGCAGCAGGTGCCACTGCATTTGCTGACTCTGAATCGAAGAACTGAGTACACTTAACTGACGCTTAGCTAAAGAACAGTGGCACCTCATATTTCAGATGCTGTCAAGATTCACAGGGGAGTGGAGGCCTCCATTTGCTTCATGTATTCCCCCTTTAGTGCCGACTGTGAGTGTGAGGGCTGTTTCCCTTGGGTCCTGGGTATCTCCACTGGAAGCTCTTACAAAGCATTGGTATTTTCATATACTGTTAGCACATTGGTGTCTCTTGAGGTACAAGCCCACACTCTTTTTTATTAGTGGTTTATTTTTAGGTTGTCTGTGTATCTCCCAGTCCCAGCCTCTGCCTTCCACTGATCATTGGGACCTGGGGATTGCTAGCGTGATGAGTAATGCAGAGCAGACAGCTTACAGGCAGAGTCCACGCTGGGACACAGCAGTGGGGAAAGGTAAATTCTCCCCTCCCTTCCTTCCCTCAGGGGTCTAGCCAGGGGTCAAGACCACTTCTGCTGATTAGAGGGCAGCCCCCTGACACCACGACCGTAAGGGCCAAATCTGCTCCCCCTTTGCACTGGCACAAACCCAGAGTAATTCCATTGACTCTGGATTTGGAAAGTGGATGTTCACAGGTGTAACCCATAGCTGAATTGGACTCTAATTGGTGCTTATATCAGCAGCAAATCTGGGGGAATCTCCTTACATCCTGCACATCTGTGAGGGTTGCCCTCGATTCCTCTGGTAGCATGAGGTGTTTCCTTGCCCTGGATATTAATCCCTGTTGCAGAAGTCACACGGTTCTGTCACTCGCTGAGCAGGAAGTGCTCTGCACCGCCCCTGACAGAGCGGCTCCTTCCCAAGGTACATTGCCCACTCCCCACCCCCCAGGGCCCCTCAGCATGAATAAGGGGAGGTGCAGGCAACTAGAATGCCACAATTGGCATGCAGAGGAAGGTCACCTATCACCCTTCAGGGGGTGCTGTTGACTCTCCCGGCGGGCTGGTCCTCGCCGCGGGCTGGGGCAGAAGGGAAACCCCTGGCCCTGCCCCTCCTTGCCCCCTTGGGGTATTGTGCACCTCTAGGCTTGTTGTGCAGAGGGTGCGATTGTGCCAGGCCCTTACATTGGTTGCACACGGGAGGAAAGTTTCTTGTGCTCTCCTTCCTCATGTTAACCCACATAAGGGCCAGGAACAATTGGTGCCATAAATAGCCCAGATAAGTAGGTGCGGGGGGCGGGGGACGGGGACGGGACGGGGTCAGGAGAGAACTTCTGCTTCCAAGGAGGGAAAACAGGGCAGGTGTGCAATGTATTAGGTGGTTAGAGCATAGGACTGCGGGGTCAGGGCTGCTCGGTCCTATTCCCAGCTCCAGGAACCTGTGCAGCGTAATGGTTAAAGCAGAGGATGGAGAATCAGACGCCTGGGTTCTGTGGCTGATTCTGCCATTGAATCACCTTTCTGTAGCTCAGTTTCTCCTTTTGTAAAAACTGAGGAAATAATACTGCTCTGCCTCAGAAGGAGGAACCGTGAGGTTTGATGAATGAATGTTTGCAAAGCCCTTTGAGGCCCACTCAGATGAGAGGAGCTCTCCACGTTCAGTTCATTGTTGGCACAGTTCGCTTTGTAGATGTCTGGGAAAGGTTTTGCTTCTGCGTGTTTCCATTTTCCCTGTTGAATTTCTCAGTGCTGGCTTGTTGGAGTGCACTGCACCTCATTAAACTGATTGTCACTGGAATATCAAACCTCACAGTATTTCTGCCGGAAAAAAATGTGTGTTCATCCTTATATTATTCTGCCAGGTTTTTCACTGATGTTTGCCCCGCCAGGTGTTTCTGCTGCCCAGCCATTGTCAAGCTTCTAGGAAATGTAGTTGACAAAGAGTTGGTGAAGTGTAACCAGCCTGCACACCTTTAATTTGAAGCCTTTATTTTATTATTCATAACTGCATAAATGCAGGGAAAGCAGCATCAGGCCATGTGCAAAAATTGGGCTCCTTACCTTAAGATGTGTAGAAGAGAAAAATATTTATGAATACTATGGACTAGATCCTCACCTGGTGTAAATCCAGGTAGCTCTATTAATTTTATACTTTAGCTGAGGATTTGGCCTATTATAATAGGATCAATTTTTTGTTAATTCTTCTCTGTTTGCTGCACCTGAGATATGAAAACAACATTGGGCCCAATTCTCATTCACACTAAGACCTTTTCACATATCACTGAGGCACATAACAATTGGCGGCAGATCCTTAGCTGGTCTAAAGTACCATTGAAATCAGTGGAGCTATGACAATTTATTAACCGGAGATTTGTCCCCTGGATCCAATCTCTGCTAGCAGGGCTGCTGGTTAGTGCTTAGGATGATTCTCTTCCCTTGGTGTTGTCCTAGGTCATCAAAATCAACCCAACAAAACACATGTGACAGGAGCTGAAGTGTTCTTCTCCCCAGCCTGACTTTTCATTCGCCGGTTGCTGGTCACTTTTGGAAGCCCTCTGGCTATAATGAGTTCTAGGGGAGAAGTGAAAGGACAGACTAACAAAGGGCCTTCGGAGTACTTTACTCTCTTCTCTTTTGTTCTGATGTTAGTATCAGAGTCATCATTCACATGGTCAGACACAAAATCAGAAATGAAGTGGTTTAGGAGATTATGCCTGGAGCAAATCCTGCCATCATAATCTTACCTGTAATCTGCAAGAGTCTCCCATTTTACCTCCCTTCTATTTTAACCCTGAACTCTGGATGCCCCAGTTGGGATCCCATCACCGGCTGTTCCTCATTGGCTGGATTAGGATTTGCTGCATACTTAAATGTCAGGTCCTTCTTTGAAGAGGGTTTTGCAAGTTTAAATTCACTTTAGGAAGTGTGAAACTCTCTCTGGAGGGGTGCCTTTTTGCAGCTCTGTGACCCATGACAGTGAACTAGAAAAATCTTGTGCTTGGGTGTTTGGGTTCTCTAATTAGTGTAACTCCTGTGACATCAGCTGATTTTGAAACTTAAAGGCAAAAAGTAAAATTGAAAAAAAAGAAAAAAAGCCAACCAAACCCCCAACAACCGAGAAGGAGAAGTCTACAAAATTTCCATTGTTCCTGAAAAACGTGACCATCTCTTTGTGTGGAAATGGGGAACATGGATGGGAAATCCGTGGAAGAACTGAGTGCCACCGAGTGCCACCAATGGTACAAGAAGTTCATGACGGAGTGTCCCTCGGGTCAGCTCACCCTGCATGAGTTCAAGCAGTTTTTTGGTTTGAAAAATCTGAGTCCAGCATCAAACAAATACATTGAGCAAATGTTTGAGACATTTGACTTTAATAAGGTAAATATTACCATCTCTATTTAATATGTATGTATCTGTGTGTATGTGTTTGTTTGTGTGTATGTATATATATATATTTGTATTATCAGAGTACCTATGGAACCCTAGTCATATATATATAAAATAATATATAAATATGGCCTGTCTTTCCATTGCCTTACATGTTATGTAGTCCTTTACACCCATGTAAAGGGCCAAGTGTGTGTAAAACACTATCAAATCCAAATTCTCCACTCTCCAAAACCAGTTTTGGTAGCATTTTACACCTACTTTGCACTCATATTGCACAGGTCTACATGTCTGCACAATTTGCAAGATGGTGGAGAATCAAGTTCATATAAATATATTTATGTGAAAGTATTTGACATGAATGTCCCGAATGAGTCTGTTATATGAATGCAGGTAAAAGAAAAGGGAATCTTTCCAAAACAAATATTCTATTGGTTTTAGTTTTAAGTTATTTGAGTTGTTGGTATTTCTCTTTAATACAACTTTAAAAGAATTATTTTATCTGATGGTTTCTAATCCCTGTAAATTAATCCCACACTGTCTAATGTCACGGCAGTAAAAAGAAATTGAGTCAAAAGTGCCACATTCATTTGACTGAGCAACAGAAAGGTCCACATCCACTTAGTATGGCATGTTCCATGGCTTAGGGCAAAGATGAAGTGTATTTATGGTTGATTTCTATGTTTATTATCGTTGGATTTGTTTTATTATATAGCTGTGTTTTTCTTGTGCTGGGCTTCTCTTTTTACAGCTTTTTAAAATGTCTAATTACTTGCTCCTGCCAAATCTGTTCATGATTGTCACAAGGTGCTGTTAAGAACAAAAGCACCAAATGACTCATTGAGGCTTCAGGTAGAGCAATTGCTACCAATGGATGCTGTGCTTTGTAGTAGGAACCAATCTTGCTCCCATTGAAATCAGTTCCTAAATGTCCACTGACTTCAAAGGGAGAAAGACCTGATCTTTAAGATGATTGTTTAACGGTGTCCTTTATGGGCCTGATCCAAAGCCCATTCAAGTCAGGCCGTATTTGGAGAACATTTGTTATTATCCAGAATCACTTCCTTGGCTGCCATATCTGCATCCCAGTGATGGCTAAAAGATCCCTTGATATGCAGGCCCTGAGTCATTACTGCATGGCCAGTGTTATGCTGACACAAGTTCATTGGCTTCAGAGAAGTTACACCCACATAATTCTATGAGTAAAGCAGGAGTGAATCAAGCCCATCAACTTGTAAGAAGCTTTCAGCAGGAAAGGAAAGGAAAAGAATTGCTATCTAGGCATAACTAACTAGTCTCTGTTACACCAATATAAATCCGGAAGTGACATCAATAGAGTGATTCTGGATTTGCCTGTCTTAAAGGTGTTTACTGATGCCCATCACCACAGTATCTATTCACCTTCCATATAGAACGGATTGGCAGTGGTGGAGGCCCTGGTGGTTCTTCTCCCTTTTCAGGATAAGAAAGCTGTGCGTAAGGTAGCTTTATTTATTTAAGAGGGTTTATTTGGGTCTAATTGACTGCGTAATGGCATGGCCCTATCAATAGTTGGCTTTCTGTTTATCTATCAGACCTGAAGATGACCTCTGTGTAAGTTCAAAAGCTTGTCTCTCTCATCAGCAGAAGTTGGTCCAATAAAAGATATTACCTCACCGACCTTGTCTGTCTTACAAACTGCCATTCATAACATCCATCACCCTTTGTCTGAGGTTTCATTTCATCCAAATAGTTTGTGTCTAAAATTCAACCCAGTGCAGAAGACGCGAGTTCTGCCCTCTGCTGAAATCCTTGACCTCGGGGTTAACGGAGATTTAAGTAACAGAGGGTCCTGTGGCACCTTTAAGACTAACAGAAGTATTGGGAGCACAAGCTTTAGTGGGTAAGAACCTCACTTCTTCAGATGCAAGTAAAAGAAGTGAGGTTCTTACCCACGAAAGCTTATGCTCCCAATACTTCTGTTAGTCTTAAAGATGCCACAGAACCCTCTGTTGCTTTTT